AACAAAATAGAAACATTGACGCTGAGATATGCTCAGCATTGCGTTTTCCTCATTGAAACACTTAAACTTATCTTTGCCAGGTCCTGAAATAAGCACATTCTCCAGTCATAAACAGCTCAAAGTTTTTGATGACACTTTAAAATGTAAAAAGAAAAAAAAAAGAAAAGCTCCGGTCATCTAGTTTCACTGGATCCTTTGAAATTCAGCTGGTTGTAAGAAGAGCACATTGTTGTGCAGGACTGAATCCTCGGCGTTCAGTGGAAGAGGAATAACAATTTCTGGTGTTTTCTGCTCTGTGGGGAGACATTTCAAAGCATCCAGGGATCACGGCGAGCTGTCAGCTGACTGCACACCTAACTTTTGATTCTGCTCCTTCCACTGTCTCACAGTGGCTTCATGCACAGACGGAAACGTACGCACACACACACACGTGGATATTCAGCAGCACATTAATTCACGTTGCAGATTCTCACCTCAGAGAGCTCTTTGTGAGTACCGCTGCTGTTCCGCTGCTTGCTCGACATCACGGTTGTGGAGTGCTATAGAGTCCTGAGGCATCAAACTCAGCGTTTGACCACTTTATGAAGAAAACGTTGCGGTGGATATGTTATGTTAAACACGAGCGCCAGCCAGCAGAGGCCGGATATTATTAGAGCCAAGCGATGTGAAGCCATGAGTGGAGACTTTGTTTGTCTGAATTTTATCCAATAATCACTCATTTATATCCGTTTTAAAATGTTGGATACATAATACGTCTTGGTGGTTTCCTGGGAGTTTATCTGACTTTGTTTGCTTTAATCAACAGTTTTCTAAGTACCTCTGTTACATACGTGGTGATTTTACGTGTAATCCAATTTATGCTAAAGAAAATGTGCCTTGAGTAGCTGAAATACCTAGGCACAATGGTGCTTCACAATCTATTGTCTGGCGTTTGCAAGGTACTCAGTTCCGGAGCTATTTATTATACGTTTACTTTTGTTGGTGCTGATGAGCTGAACCTCCAAGTATGGAAATACAGAAGACTGTAGATCTTGTGGTGCTGCTAGGACTGTTTTTAATGTGTGTATTAATGCATATTAAGGAATATTTAGTGTGTGAACTAACAAAATATGCATTTATGAGTGTTTTTAGAGAGAGCCTAAAGTATTTGCCAATTTAACTATTTACATGTGGCTGTGGTCCCTAACTTGGGGATACATTGCTATTTTGTGTTTAATCAACAGGAAATAGGGCACTAATACTATATTTAATATTTTGCCTTATCAGGGCATCAAATAAGAATTAGCAGTGGTGTGATTATTTCTATGTTTCCCTTTGGGATGTCTTGGGCAAATTGCCATTTATAAATCAGTAGCATTTGATGATCATTATGTCTAAGTAGAAAGGTCTTGGTTAGATTTTTTTTTTTTTTTTATGTATTTCAACTTCCAGCCAAAGTCTTTAACATCATCCTTAAGAGTTTTTCATAGTAACTTAAAAAGCTCTTTCGATTCTAACAGTTCATGTTATGTATGTAGTTGTTGCATTTATCACGTCTTTTACCACTTTTCACCCCAACAATCTAATTTCAGACTCTGGGTTGTAATATAAATGTACACACCTTTCTGTTGGGAGCTTTTCGACAAGATAGCAAGTAGGAGTTATATTATTAATCAGGGCTGTTTTAAACAATCAGTTGTTCAATGATGATAATCAAGCGTACTAACCATGATTTTGGAGTTTAGTTATCCCTTATCTTATTTTTTTCTGTGTTGATTAATTTTGGATTTCTCTTCTCGTCTGTTTGGGCCCAGATTCTGGGTTCTTTGTTCTGGTTTTTTGAGTTTTATTTAGAAAGCCTGTTTTGTTGTAGACTTGCTCTTGTCACACACCTGGCCTTTGCTTGTTGCGCCTCACCTGATCTCTGTTATTCATTATCTCCCCCTTAGTGATTGTGCTGCCCGAAACCCAATTTGCTTTGCAATTCCACCTTGTCAGTGTGATCCTACATCTGCTCTGCTTGCCCCTTTTTGTTTAGGTTTGCAGTGTTGGCTGCATATTTATCGTTCTGCCCTGCAGTGATTTGTTTTTGTTGATAAAAAGAAGTTTAGTTTATTCTTCACCTTCTTGCCTCCTGTCAGAAAGTCCACTCATGGGTCCTCCTCCACACTGAGGTTTGACAGAATCACTAAGCTAACACCGGTGTAGCTTTGTTTCAAGCTGTTTAGTTGAGATCCATTTGTTGCATAGCACAGAAATTTCGTAGCACCAAACGGGTCCTGAAACCCACCGAGGGACAGTTATATAGCCTGCTCTGTAATGCAATATGAAGCACATTGTGCGTGCTCCGAAGCTTTCAGGAACAAAGCTGCTCACTGAGCCCTCATAAAATGATAAAAGTGGTTTATATACTGAAATCAATCCTGAGACGAGCTTTCCAAAACACAACAGAAGTGGTCAGTCATACATGAGGTGGGACAGAGTCTGATTCGGTCCCCGTGGAGCCATGTACTAATATTTTCTTTGCACATTTTCGACTTGTTCTCACTTTGCAGGTCATATCAGTGATGAACTTTGCGATGTCCAGACTGAATAATGCACTCAAGGCAAACAAATAAGTTCAGATAGAATAGCAGCACATCTCTGCTTTACAATATTGTAAATTAACAGAAAATGTTCTGAGAAATCTGTAATATAATGGACATTTGACGTAAGCATATCTTGTTTGTGCATATCCCAGTAAGGATAACAATGCAATCAAGTTAAGTGAGCAGAAATGACCTAAAATAAAATTGAAAGAAAATTGCTTCTCTTGAACATATTTATTTTTCATGTTCCCTGGAGATTATACATGATTGAAAGTAATGCATTTCAGTGGTTCTTAACCAGTGGTTCTTAACCAGTGGTTCTTATGGCTGTAAGAGGATTACAGCCATAAATATTATATGAATACGTCTTCCTCAAAGTTAATGTAATCATTGAGTACACCGTCACATTACATCTGGGTCTGAAAGGATTTGATCTCTTTCAGTGGTTATGGGTCACGCAGTAATGTTCATTACTTTGATGTTCTGGACAATAAAAACTGATCAAAGGTAATCTGAAGCTTCTGATGTGACAGTAAACAGGATCTTTTTGTAAATGTAGATTCTAGTTATTGGTGTTTGTAGAGATTTATTGTGGATTTGGACAGTTTCTTTAATGAGGTATGTTTTTCTTCCATAGCTTCAGGACAAGCTCTGTATGTGCACCATCTAGTATTTTTATAGCCATTTCTTCTTTGTAAACTTTTGGGGAATGCAGAAGGCAGGCCACAAATGACCCGAAGTCATGCAGGAGGGGACAGAGAATGATGGGCTGTCTGGGATGGAGAGAGGGCCCAAAACATTTAGTGCATTAAGAACCTTGAGGGGAACTATATTATGTTGCAACTTGTAGTAAGACTTATGGTGGAGGGGAAAAATTGAGTGGACAATCTCTGATCGTTCTGTTTTTCACCCAAAAACACATAGTTGCCACCATGCTTTTGCTGCAATGCAGTTGAATTTGTCGCTCAGTCTAAAAGGCTCTCAATAATGGTGTCTTACTTTTGTATCCCAAACACATCCGGCTGCTTTACATGTCGGCATTTCTCCTGAAAACTGTTAGATTTTGCACAGCACACGCTTGAATGAAACAATCAGATTAGAAAACTCTGGGTCAAATGCTTTTTATAAGGGAATTTCTGAATGTTGTACTGTTTTACGTTTAAGAACGCACATCTCATTACAATTTGATATCAGCTGATACAATTTGATGGCAGCTTATGAATTGACTCCGCTTGCTTATAAGACAAATCTGAGAAATGTGGCACAATGAGTCTGGTTGGTTCTTATTTAGTCACAGATTAAAGAAATACCTCACCTCGAATTTGTTTGCTTCCTCAGGCAAATGCATCTCATCTCTAATTGAGGGCCTCTTACGACTCACTGAGTCAATACACACGGCTTTAATACTCAAACCATTATTATTTCAAATCATTGTCAAAAAAGGCGGGATAAATCATTGACTTATGCCCCGTTAATGCTGGAAAATTGCTTCATGCATTTTGCGTCACTGACAGTTAAGGGCCCGAAAACAAGTGAAGCTAATGGCGTAATCTGGCTGCGACCACTCTGTTCCTCAACGCCGCCTCTCGACTCTGCTCCCGGCTTAGACAAACAGGCTCATCTGCACTGGATCATTTGCCGTCTCCTGATACGCTGCGGTTCATAGGCAATTATCTCTCTCGATCCATTATCGATTACAGTGTTATCTTACTTGCATTGCTTAATCTTTTGGCACAGTATAATAGTTGCTCACGTCGGGCCTCGGTGCAAACTGCTTAGCGCCGAGAACATTGGTTAGGATGGATGGATGCTCATTTGTGTGTAAATGGTTGCAGTTTAAAGTCAGACTGATGCAGAATATATTCAGTGTCAAGCAGAGGGCATGGTTGACTATACGTGTTATTGTTCCAGGTTAAAGCTGGGGAAAAGCAGAGTGTAGTCCAAGGGTTCTCTAACTTGATTTTCAAAAGTCTAAATCTGATTTCTAGCTAAGATGAAATGCCTTGAGAGCAAATATTTTTTATGAAGTTTTCTCCCAACATGCAACTCACTGCTTTCAGTAAGCTTCTGAGATCTGGGTCTTGATGAACAATGCTTGATTTTTCTTTCTTTGTTCCGTCTTTTCTGTTTTCATAATTCTACATTTTATAAAGCAAACAGATTACTTTATATAGAAAAAAACAGCTCTTGTTTACAATTTCAACAATTCAGTGGTATAATAATCCAAAATACATCTTCAAATGTAGACTTGAAGCTCTGATTATTTTGGATCTCCTCTGAAGGTTAAAGTGGGTTTTAGAAAATTGCTATAATGTTCTACCTGCATCTTACCCAAGGAGCCACCTTTATAAAGTGAACTTCAACAGGGAACCTATTAAGATTGAATACTGATTTAGTCTGATGTTTTTCTCTTTTCTCTTTTTGTTATTCTAGTTGGGTCAACAACTTTGGCCATGAAGGTCTCGGCCTTCTTCTGGAAAATCTGGAGAAGCTTCTGGACAAGAAGCAGTAAGTTCACATGTCCACCTTCTAACCTCTGTGTCATTATCTAAAACCAGACCCTAACTAGGATGCCATATCAAAACTTACTAATTTTTTACTTTTTTTTTTTTTTTTTTTGTAGGCAAGGGCAATTTGATAAACACATCCAGCACAAGCTAATCCAGTGCTTAAAGGCTTTCATGAACAACAAGGTTTGTATGACTTAACATTAGATACCCTTAACTTATTCTTTATCTCTTTCTTTGTCTCTTTCTTTGTTTCTTTCTTTCTTCCTTCCTTTCTTCTTCTTCCTTTGTTTATTTGTTTCATTCTTTTTCTTTGTTTCTTTTGTTCTTTCTTTCTTTCTTTGTGTCCTCTGTTTCCTTTGAATTCCTTCCTTCCTTCATTTCTTCACTATATCCTTGCATCCTTCTCTTCTTGTCTTTCTTTCTGTTTGTCTTTCTGTCTTTCCTGTTCATTTGACTACGTATTTTCAGTCCGCCTATTGTAAAAAATATATACCATTAGTTTGCAGTGGACTTTAGCATTTCATATTTTGAGGCGAATGCAGCGGACATGGAGCTCTGCAAAGCTGAATCTGGAGAAACGTTTGTGCAACTTCGGTAAATGTGTAAAATTAGCACAGGTGGTAAGGCTTCCAACCTTATTTGCATCTTGTTGTTCACCGGCTGGGGATAATGAAGCAGTAAAGTGGAGCTAATTTCACCATTTAAAGTTTCTGAACTTTTAATTATCCCCGTTTTGGGAAAGTCTTCCTCATTTCTTGAAGTGGCCCACATTTCAAGGTTAGATGCACTATTGATATTGCTGCTTGTGGAGCTAATCCCCCACAACATGGTCATCGGAACCCAGTCCTCCAATTGTGCTGAGACTAAAATGTGCAGGAGACTATAAGTATTCGTCCCTGCAGTCCTGTCCTGAATTAAATCAATTTATCATCCTTGCCGTTTTCTCCCACAGCCTTAAAGTGTACCTCTTTAAAAGAAGATTAAGTCTACAGCTTTTTGTGTAATTTATATTTTACTCAAAGTGAAAGTTCTCCATGAATGTAAATGCTCTCATTAACTTACACCCAATGGATCTGCTCTCTATCTTGGCTCATCTCTTCTGTGTTTTACAGTATGGACTGCAAAGGATCCTGGGAGACGAGCGGAGCTTGTTGCTGTTGGCAAGAGCAATCGACCCGAAACAGACCAGCATGATGACGGAGATCGTCAAAATTCTCTCCGCTATCTGCATTATTGGCGAAGAAAACATGTAAGTTGATTGTGCTGAATCTGATCAGTTCTTTCAGTAATCTGGCAGAAGCCAGCCACTCTTCTCCACAGAGAGTCTTGTCAGATAATGAGATTGTCGCAGTTTTAAAGGTCAGAAGCATTGGTTTTATTTGTAGGTCTGCAGAGTTCCATTAATAAAAGGATGTTAATAAAATCTGACTTGTACGATCTACAGTGTAGAAGGAAAAAAAGGCACTAAAAAGTACATTGATACAGGGTCTAATAAGTTTGAATGGTCTAGAGAGACTCCGCTAGAAGATATCCTTACTCCAGGGAAGTTCACAGATAGATACTAGGTGGTGCTTGACCCTTTTTCATCAGCACAAAAAATGCCCTTTCTGATTTTTTTTTTTTTTTTATAGTGTATGGTGTGTGGCCCAAGGTAGCATTTCTGAATTTAAAAGCCTATTTAATCAGTTGCTCCACTTTTTTTTTTTTTATTCTCCTTGACGAGACCGCAACTTATCAAAGGCTTCACTACTTTATTAGAAAATTGTATTAGTTTATTTAGAAATGATCACTAGTTACATAAGTTTCTCAAGAATCTTTTGTTCATTTTTGTGAGTGCATATACTTGTGGTTTCCACTACAATGCCCTGCATAAGGTGTCCTTTTTTTCCCTATCATTTAAGCATCTTTATTCCAAAATGTATGAGAAACTCCATACCAGGGATGATCAACATTTACAAGCCAGAGCTCGTCTTGCTTTGGTCTTGAGCTGCAAAACCTACATGACACATCTTAAACAACTTTTCTAATAAAGTTGAATAATACCTGCTGCATAAAATAGTCAGTTTTATGGTTAATGAGAGACTGTCATCATTATTTTTAGGTGTGAAAACAAACAAAAATCCCCATCAAACTTTAGAAGGAAATGATAAAAACATGCTTTAAACTATGTGGGTATTGCTCAAAACCTGTAAAAGCGTTGCTAAAATGTGCCTCTTTTAAATTAATATATTACTAATATAAAGTGACTATTTGTGTGTTTGTGCAGGAGCGAGGATTCGTGCTGTTCGGTTGTGTGTTTTAGGTTATTACGCTCCGTTTGTCTACCTGCAAAATCATGTGTTTTCACCACCGCTCTGCTGATGGGCATTCTTCAAAGCCTTTCTTTTTCCTTTCTTAAAGAACGAATAAGCTTTGAGTATGCATCCTTTTAAAAGTAAATCTATATTAATTGTTAAAGAACTAATTCCTGGCTGGTCAAATCAATACGTGTGTGTGGTTTAGTGCTTTCTGTTGTCGTCTGACAGTAAGGGATGCACTTTGTCTAAACAGCAGGATATATTTTAGTGGTACAGCCCTTTAATTGCTTGTGTTGCCATATCATTTTTCAGTAAATCTTAGCTGGTGTGTAAGCTGAGCCAAACTGTTTGAAATCTGTGCTGAGGACAAAAATAGGAAGTCATTGTGCATCTTTACTCTGCTTACACCTCTAATATTGAACAGAAAGGATGGAAAATACTGCTGTCGCTGTTCTTTTCCTCTAAGTTTATTTATATGTTTTAGAGAGATTACACACCACTGTTAATATCCATGCTCTGTTTATCCACTGTGAATCGTCATATATCTACAGATAACCCCAGTGCAAAAACCACACTGTTCGGTGCAGCGTTGTCTGTTTACTGTGGACACGACTTGCTTGACAGCCTTTAAATTGGAGTTATGCGAGCGTTTGTTGTTTCCCACTGGGCCAGACTAGAATAACAACAGCTCAAAGTCAAGTCTTTATGTAGTCAAGGAAGTAAACAAACCCACATTTTCCGTTAAGAAAACAGCTGAGTTTAGCAAATGCATCCTACATTTCTGACCATCTGAAATGGAGCTCTGAGCTCGTCATTTTCATGCTGACTAAACAATTTCCAGAACAGGTTTCATGTTGCAGAGAATAAATTAGTTTTTTTTTTTTTGTTGTTTTTTTTTAATTCCAGAGAGTTTAACTTTGTCTTCACAGTTGCTGGTTTCAAAAATTAAATATCATGAACTTCTACAATATGTAAAGCTTTCAAACTTTGGCTTAGGACAGTGAAGGACATTTTAGTGTCGCATGTAGCAATTATTTTCTGAGTTTGTGATCTAAAATAAAACACAATTTGCTTGATTTTTAGTTAATTGGTCAACCTATTGGGAATTTATTTACAGTTTCCTCAGTCTTAAAATCAACAAATTAAGGCTATTTAGACATAAATCTCAGAATTTAACATCACTAAACATTTTTCTTTTGTTTTCATTGTTCAGGGCAAAAATATGGGACAGAATATTGACTGGTTAGATTCAGGTCTGATGGTAACAATGAAAGTGACAGAATCTTCATTGCAGTGTTGTTGCTCATATAACTGTTTTTCCTCCCATTATGTCTGAACCTTTCTGTTCTGTGACGTTGGAGCTGTACAAGTTCACCCTGAACAAGAACCTAGTTCTAAGTTTGGTTCATGCAACATAAGCCTTAACCATAGTTCATCACCTGAACATTGTGGACTAAATTAACAATCCCCAAAATGATCCAATTCTCTTTTATTCATCATATTTTTATAAAATATAGTTTAAGACAAAGTAGATCATGTTGCTGTTCCAACAGGATGTTCAGCATTTTCAGTTTGGCCTTTGCCAACTTATGTACATCTATTTAATTCCCAACCTTTCCCTGTGCTCAGCAAAACCGTCTTATTTCTCCAAATTCTTTATTTATTTTTCTGTTTTAATTCTAAAACAAAATGACTGAAAAGTCCTAAACTTCTTCAAAGTTTTTGTTCCTCTGGGAACAAAAACTTAATGATGATGTTGTTGTTGTTGTTCCAAAGCCAAACCAATGTGTGTTGATTTGGCTTTGAAACAACTTTGCTGCTTGGCAATGCAGTTAATAACATTTTCTGCAGCTCTAGAATCACTGAATCTATTACGCGCATAAAAAGCCTGAATGAGGAGTACTTGCATAATTAACTAATGTACTTTGCAATATTGATGTTGTGTACAGTGAGATCAATTTACAATCTATCAATTGAGACTGGAGTGTTAACTTCATATTGTTAGGTTTATTAAAGAGGCGGTCTCAAACTTTTGTCTTTTAGATCCAACTACAGATATTTTAATGTTCTTACAAACCTGAATAAAAATGGCTAAGATTGCCTAGCTAATTCAAAGCTAAGGTGCCAGAGCTTTGCGTCAGTCTCCTCTCCTAACTAGCATCAGGTCACGTTTCAGTGACTTTACCCCCAACTATTACAGTCGTACTAAGAGTGTCTCTTAAAGGAAATAATAATAAAGAATTGTACAAGACTGAAAATTGCTACATACTCTGAATTTCAGTCTGCAGGAGTTTAACGACACAAAATCAGGGTTTCTCAGGCCAACCAAGATAAAGAAGTTATCTGCTGAAGTGAGCAAAATGTTGACATATTACAGATCACAACTCAAGTGAACTTGTGTTCACAACAACTTTCGCAGGTAGATGCGCTCGAGTCATTAATCAGTGCGCTGATGCGGTTAATGAGTAAATTAGTTGTGTTCAGTTCAGTCACCACATAGGTGGGGTATAAACACACATGCATCACTGCTCTTCTAATCTTATAGTGGTGGTATGTACCTCTCTGTGTCTCATGATACTTTATTCACTCACACCAGTCACTCAGATAATTTAAAAATAGGTTGAACAACAAGATCTTTGCCACGATGATATCCGTGCTATAAAATGTCCGGATCTTGTGGAAGTGACAGCCGAAGGAGCTGAGGTGTCGTCTTTTTTCTTTTTTCTTTTCCTTCTTCTCCGAAACTTCTCTGCCAGCCGGTGCTGAGAATCTGACTCATGTTAGGCACCGTTTTTGGCTGACAGCATCAAAAGAGAACACGACAAGTTAAGCAGATCTATCTCGCCTGTTTTGTAGCTACGTCTGAACTGGCTTTAAAGCTGCTCAGTATGCAGCTCGTCATGTTTTCAGTGACTTTGTAATGTCTATCACAGGGTTCTTCCATTTATCTCCATGTAAGCCTTACTCTGCACATGCGGTCCTATTGGTCAGACATGACGTCTGCTAATCTCAAAGGTAGTAGAGGATGCAACAGCAACTGTGTCTGGTATGTTTGATTAAAGACGTGCATTGCAAAAGTCTTCATACCTTTTGAACTTTGTCACATTTTAGCATGTTACAACCTGGAATTTGAACCTTTTGTGTTGTACATTTTGGCTGAAAGACAAAATGCTCTTTTCTTTTGGGGAGCAATAACATTTTTCAACTCCTGTAGGTTTGTATTTAGCACCCTGAGACAAATCTTTGGAGACACACCTTTCTGTCAAATTAATCCTTTGAATTATTGATGACAAGGAACACAAACTAAGAAATCACTTCAACCCTGTGGGTACCCCTGACTGGACCTATGTTGAGGCATCCAGAATTTCAAGAAAACTCAACTCTGTCCACCGAAGGAGGAAAGAAGAAGAACATTGTCATTCCATATGGGGATTCGGTATCTGAGAAACTAATACTGCTTTTTTTCCAAGCATAATATTCTTGTACATTATAAGAGTAGAAGAGTAAAATTATCCTGTCAAGGTCTGTAGTGTATTTACATCTCAAGAACAAGGAAAATTAGTTTGAAGACAGACAGACAGAGATCTGACAGTTTAGATCAAAGGCAAAACATCTTCAAGAAATATAATTTGATTAGCTAACCCAGTGGGTTCCCACTGCCCTGCATGTTTAGACATGTCTCTATTCCAGCATTCCTGATTCACATGACCAAATGACCTCCTCTGCATGGCATCAAGTACTGCAGATCGTTGTTTCTCATTCAATCTGCTTCAAATCAGTGAAATTTGTAACAGCACAAAATGTGCAAAGTTCAAAGGGTATGAATACTTTTGTAGGAACCTGGGGCATCGCCTCAGTTTTCTTTTCTGGAAAACCAAGGGGAAAATGTTTCTCAAAACCATTTATGCCAATTTTTCTGGCTCATTATTTACCTAATATGGATGTGAATTTTATCTGAACATTCAGAGAATTGCTGAAAGGACAATAGTTTACTTCTGGTTTAGTGTGTGTTTGTGACAATGAACATGTTCTCAGTTTAGTCTTAAATGATTAAGTAATCTAAAATGAGCTGCCTTGAGCCCTTTTGAACACAAATTTACTTGGACCTTTCAAATAGCTTTGCTTTCATATTACCAAATACATTTATTACAAACGCTTTAATAGGCCGCATTTGCAGCAAAAGCCTATCGTTTTGTTCAAGCTTCCCTTAACAACAGCGAGATCGGGTCCAAATGGGATTTAACGAGTGAAAAACATAAACGATCGGCTGCACTGACCAACACACGAGAAGAGACCGGTTTTGTTTGAGCTTTAAATTGTGAAGAAATGTCCTGTCGTTAGAGGTTTTAAAACTGTTTGTTTGCTTGCTTTTTCCCCAGCCTGGATAAGATTCTGGCTGCCATGACGATTGCTGCAGAGAGGAACAATAAAGAGAGATTTGCTCCAATTGTGGAGGGACTGGAGAACCACGAGGCCCAGCAGCTGCAGGTGAGTAATTAGGCACGCACACAGCACAAACAAAAACAACAAGCAGCGCGATGATCCAAATACCTCAACACTGCTCTGCTGTGATGTGATGCAGTGGAAAATAATTGATTGGAAACCCAAAACTGAGATTAAAAGAAGTATTGTAGGAAAACTCCTGGTTTATGTTATGCACGGTGGACGCAGAGCGGGCCCAGTGTACAGAACGCGTCATATTTCTTCAAGATCCTAATGGGAGCAGACATGACTCAAATTGACAGTTTTGCCACTCTGTGCTGTGTTTGGTCCATTTATACCTCCACCTCGGCTGTATTACCACATCTTTCATTGCTTCTGTCTTCATGTCGACTCGTCCACATCAAGCTCCCCCTAGGACATGACAAGATGTGATCAGGGGGCTATTATAATCAACTCAATGCTCCATTGCCACTTCTTTGTTAAAAGAAAACACCTGCCTCATTGAGCACCTCCACTGAATGGCTCCTCTCTTTTAGCAAACCCATAAAAAAGATGAAGTTAAAGAAAGATATTGAGTTTGTCTTTCTTTTTTTGTCATATTTCCCCTTCCTCTCGCTGTTTCTGCTCATCTTTTTTTTTTTTTCCTCACATCCCACAAATACTTCCTCTTGCTTTTTTCTATGTTGCTGTCAAGTTGAATCTCGGAGGACTCTGTGAGAGGCCAGCAGAGCAGCGTACCTCTCCTCATTTTCACCAGTGTTCTTTAGAAACAGGAAAACAACTATCTAACAGCAACAACAACACCACTCAAAGCTCTTTTTTTTTTGTCCTTAAGAGTCCAGAGCAAGGAATTACTTAAGGAATTAGATTAGCTGCAGGGCATGAGAAGTCATGAAAAAAAAAGTCATGAAAGAAATTGATGAGGCGGGCGGCGGAGGAGAAACAAGATATTCTTTTATTAGTAGGCTGTTGTTTTTCCTTTAATTTTTGCCATTAATGAAATGAAGCTCTGCTAATTGTGGAGTAAATTAAAATGCTTTGCTGATACAGGGGTTTTGGGGAAATTAATAGACTTTAAATCCAAAGGCCGTGATGTTCTGCACAGCTAGACTTGGCTAATGTGATTAAAATGTGTTTTAGTGTAGTTCAGGCTACAGCTGAGCAGGAAGGGAACTCCCCGTTTCAAATTTCTTACATTTTCCAGCTATTGGTAGTTTAATTACAATTACGATTTCTAATCAAAGACTTAAATTTTTTTTATGTCACTTTTAATGTAACATCATGAACAAATAAACTGAAAATTCCCCAGATTTTGATAAAAATAAAAAAACACTAGGTTACGTGAGTGAAACTAGTGATCCGGGTTGATCCGGCTGATTCTGGTGATGTGATGCCCTCAGTCCAGAACCTTCAGAGACACATAAAGAACCAGAACCAAACATGAAGAAGCAGCATTCAATTTTCATCTAATCTGGAACAAACATCCAGAAAACAATTCATTTCAAACATCCCATTGCTTAGAGCTCCCTTTGATTAATAACTGGAAAATAGATTAGTTTTAGTCTGGATTGTGGCTTTCCACTACTTTCCTTTATCCTGCTACTCTAATGTATTGTTTCTTTTTAGATCTATTCAGTGTGTTATGTTTTTATCATATAAACCACTTTAAGCTGCCTTGTTGCTGAGATTTACATCCTTTAACTAAACTGTTAATTTACAGAGAGGCAACAAAGGATCAAAATGTTTTCCTATATAAATATTTTTATATACATATTTATGACAAAGATCATTTCTGTAGGGTACAATAGGCAAATATACCCAGATCCAAATATAGTGATGGATTTAACTCAAACAACACTGAAAGGTGGTTCAGCAAAGAGTTTGTTCAAGGGTTACCAATTTATTTCACCTTTAAGTTTTTATACTGTTGTTTAGCTTTTCAGGTCAAATTATAGAGGGCAAGTGTCACATGAAAGCCGGCAACGGTTTTAAAATGATCTGAAGGTGTAATTTTTTCACCTAACATTTTAACTGATAACTTTTGAGATGTGCTGAAACAGCAGGGACGTTTTTTTGGTGGTGGTTCTAAGTATCATGCAAGCAGAACTACCATGGGGAGTTCATGGTGAAATTGTAAAAACAAACTAAGTAGGGAAATCTACAAAAATGCGGCAAATTCAATTTAAAGGTTAAAAAACAAAATTTGCATCAAGTGAAAAAAGCAAAGCAACATATAGACTATCCTAGAAATTTAGATATTTAAATAAAAAAGTCTTTCTACTCTGTTATTCTATTTCTATGTAATATGGAAAAGGTGTCCAACAGTATTTTTGTATAGAAAAATCAAACAGGAGAATGGAAAGCATTTGTATTTCCAGACTTCTTCCTCTTCCCTATTGTTTGGAGATGTTTTGCAACCAGTAATTTTCTTCCTCCCTCCATCCTAGCCTTAACTTTCTTCTTTTTGCAGATTACAAATTTAAACCCTGTCTGCTGTAGAAATGTTTCCTATAAATGTATAATGTGTTATGACATTCGTATTTTAAGTCTAACTCAAAGGACTGTGAACTTTAGAAAGTTCAGTCCGGAGAAGTCTTTAATTTTTCCATGAAAAGCTTGACCATATCTGATTATATTCTTTCTATAGCTTCATCACTTATTCTTGTTTTCCTCATCCAGTTCTTCACACTAAGACAGATTTTGGCCCAGAGGTGCTCAAACTGACAGTGAGAGGAAGCAGCAGCAGAATACAAGGTTTTAAGTCCAAAAAACGGACATGACAGCCCCAAAGAATCAGCTCAGCTGTGACTCTGATTAATAACACATAACAACATTGAGTGTAGGGTCAAGGTTTAAGAAGTCAGCATTTCCGATTTTGTCCATGGGAATCCTTCAGCCTTATATCGATTGTCTGTCAAAGGAAAAGTGCCTCATCTGTGGCTTGCTCCCTAGAAACACCTTACTTCTCATTATATTTCATCTGCTATTTCCTCCTCCTAACCCACACTCATCCATCCACCCTCTCACCATGCACACAAACTCTTTTTTTCACTCTTTCTTCTTCCAATAAATCCATTAATAATGCACGTCTGGTCAATAGCCTCACAGAACTGGACTGCGTTCCTCATTTTACCTGATTCTTTCTTTACTTTTGTCCTCAGTGCTGCAGTCAAGGCTCTGAAGAGCAATAGTGAAGCAAGTACTGACTAACAAAGCACACCATTAAGCAGTATCACCTTCGTAGCTGAAGAATATGAAGATTACAGACACGAACCAATTCATGTTTGTGAATTTTTGCATGTATTTGTTTAGTTGCCACCCTTTTTTTTTTTTTTGTTTACGTGTTGTAATTTTCTGTATAACTCATTTGTAGAATGTGAGAAGAGGAAACAGACCTGCTGAGTAAAAGTCTTCGCCCACTTCAAAATAAGAACACGAATATAAGCGGATAACTACATGAAGTTAACCAAAACTTTACCGCAAATTTTGAAGTTTATTTAACTGTTCATAAAACAGTTGAATAAACTTAAAAAAATAAAATCAGCTCTTTTATTAGAACCCTAGCAGATTAGTAGAAGTGTGCCCACTACAGCTGCCTAAATTGTGACAAATGCTGCCTATCACATAGAAGTGTGCAGCCAACGAGGTCATTCCTAGTCTCGCGATGTTATGTTGTTCTACTGAAGGCTCTGTTTTTTTTTTTTTTTTAAATGAAAGAATTAAAGTTAAATGGCCAAATATACATTGTTTCTTCATACTCCATTAATCCCATATAATAAATGACACAAAACTGTAGTCAATAGTAGATTAATCCGTTGGGTGTTGGCAGAGAAGATTTAACAAGTCACACGTTTAACTTTGCTGCTCAGCCTGCAAATGCATTATTCTTACAAATAATTACTATTCAAAGAGAAACAAACAGGCTTTCCAACGGTATGGGGATTTGCTGCCAAGTAATAACTGACTAAACACCAAGTGTTCTTACTTTTTGTGCTTGATATATTTAGACATGCACCAGTCAATTGGAAAGAGATCTGAAATGGACCAATTCCAATTTTGATCTGGGATCAGATGCTCATAAAATCATTCTTTGCTCCTGTTTCCTGTTTATCAGCACATCTGACAACAGCATTCACTTTCTTAATATTCAATATAGATCACATAAAGGTCACAAGTGCTGTGATGCACATAGGGATATTCTTGTGATTTGTTTTTTTACAGTTTAATTTAAAACTACTACCTCTGTCAAAGAATATTCAGTGGCTTTTCTCTTTCATCCGGTTTAGTCTCTAAAAAGAGAAGGAAAAAAAAAACGTAAAAATCTGCAATTCAGCCTGGAAAGCCAAAATTTCAGGTTCTGTTTTGCTCATATGTTTATTGTTATTTTTACTTTCTCCAGGTCGCCTGTATGCAGCTGATCAACGCCCTGGTCACTTCGCCTGACGACCTGGACTTCCGGATACATCTACGCAACGAGTTCCTCAGATGCGGCTTAAAGAAGATCCTTCCTGTGAGTCGACGGAGAACAACTGGCAGTCAGACTTAGATCAGTCCTGACTTTATTGAAGAGGAATGAAGTGACCTAAATATTCAGCGTATTCTTCATCTGCCAAACGAGATCGATGAAGAAGTTTAAGTCAGTTCGGCTAAACTTTACCTCATCAAACCAATTATTTATTACTTTGCTTCGATGAAGCAAGTCTTTTTCCTGCTTTTGCCTTTTGGCAAAATCCACTCACTGATGTGCATTTTGAATGTTAAATGTAATTAAACTAGATTTAATTATTTTTCTTTAATGATTTTTGGGAAGAAAAAAGTGGGAGTGACTGCACAGGAAAGCTTCAAAACAATTGGTGTGATTAATGGTAGCAAGGGCTTGCGGAGAGCGCGGCGCGGAGCTCGCACCTCTGCACCGCGCCGTCATTATCGGCAACCTCACCGTACACGGCTTCACACGAGCCGAAGGCGAGCGAGCTCCGGCTCATCGCTCAAACTCTCATTTGTTGCAAGTGGGGTGAACATGTCACGGAGCCAGTTGTTAATAAGTCATCCCAGCTGCTCCTGTTGATTTTTACGGTCATTACTTTAATTATCTCCATTTCTGCCCCCTGATATGAAAGAGCCTCTGTGTACAGTCGTTTACGAATCCCACATTTGCCACTTTTATTGCCCACATTCAGCGTGACACTCCTTCATCTAATTATGAGTTATGCTCAGGAAGGTGTGTGTCTGTTGGCCAAGAAACGGTGAAGCCCGCCGAAAAAGAAAGCGCAATTTGTTTTGTTCTGATAGTCCTTGGCCGCCTGTGTTTGCCTCCCTTCTTCTTCTCCCTCCTTTACTTTTGCGTGCCATTGTGCATCTCCCTGCAAACCAGTGTTGGTTGCTGGAGACAGATGGTGCACCCCAACAGTGTGCAAGGTGATTGATACCTACAGAAATTGGGTTACATTTGGCTGTGTCTCAGCGCATAAACCCCACTGCTGATGATTCATAGGGAAGTGGTAAAGAGCAACTCTGTGTCCCCTTGTGGCTGGTACAGGTGTGCAGGAATTGGTTCTGTCTGGAGCTGTTGGCGAGAGGGTCGATGCTATCTTAGTTTTCTTTTTTTTTTTTTATTCCAAGACTGCTATTGCAAAAGTTTTTCACATTCTGTCACGCTATATCCACAAACTTCAGCATATTTAACTGGAAATTTTGTGATAAAACACGACAAGACCGGAGGATTGCAGTATTTGTATTAAGTGATTTGTAGAGCCAGTTTTCAATGAAAAACAGCTGCAGGTTTGTACAAATTAGCTCAATTTTGGTCTGATTTGATGAGAATAATCTGTATACATATATTGATTGCATATGATTTAGGTCTGGACTTTGACTGGGCCATTCAAACATTATTATGCTTTCATCTTAACCACTCGGCTATGTTTAGGATTTCTGTATTTGGCTCCATTCAAAGGCTTTCCCACAGTATGATCCTGCCATCACCAAAAGACGATATCCCAAAATGCGCCTTTGTGGTTTTCAGTTGCAACGTGACAGAATGTGAAGACTTTCAGTGAGGTGTAAATACTTTTGCAAGGCATTTTAGGTGAAAGATAATATAATAGCTACATTAGCCGTGTGTTTTATATTACACTGTATAAAAAACACTTTTGACTCTTAACATTTCCACTAATTTCCAGGAGATAAAAAAGACAGAGGAGCTGGACATTCAGCTGAAGGTGTTCAACGAGAACAAAGATGAAGACGCCATCGAACTCTCCCATCGCCTGGACGACATCCGTGCTGAGATGGAATATCCTTTGGTCTTTTGCGTTGCCACATGGAGGATCGATGTATATTCCTGCAGAACTAGCCGTGTGCCGGTGTGTTTCGTTGGTTTTGGTCCAGCTTTGCCGACTAAATCCTCCCCATGGCTCTGTTCATTAGAGGAGGATTAGATGAGTCAAAGCACAATATCCCGCTCTATCCCCAGACAGGTATACTCGGTAAATAACCTAGTCATCTTAACCTTTGACCTCTTTGCTCCTTTATTTGCTCTTCTCCTTCAGTCCTTTCCCTCTTCTCTTTAGTTTGTTTTTTGTCTTTTTTGTTGGCCTTTAATTGTGAAAGACATTAATGAAACACAAGAAACAAAGTATGAATTTAATATTTCTAGCATCTTAACAAGGTAATTTATTTCAATAATTCAATTCAAAAAGGGAAACTCGTACTGCATGATGGATTCATGAGACATCAGTGGTTTACTGGCTTTGATTACTGGCTTACATTTAGTAACAGTTCAGTTTTCAGAGCATAACTTAGTATTAATTAAAGGGTCTTTTAATGCACCACTCTTATGTTACGGCCATGATTCTGTTCAAAAATAGGAGTGCTGTATTAAAGCATATCGACAGAAAGTTTAGTGGAAGGAAACAGTGTGCTAAAATGCATACTAGAAAGACGTTGCGCCTTACCCACAATGCCAAAAGTACCGACAATCCAGTTTAATGACCATGGTATCACTGTGCTGACTCTAACCTTTTTAGTATTTCTATGACGCATTTTCAAGTGAAAGATTAGACACTTAAAGCCGACAAGCTGAATGGGAATATTAAAGTAACCTGGGCTCCATTATCACTTCAACAGTCCCTCAGGCTCACAGCTTCAGTAATTCATGCAAAAGAACCCTTAACCAAGCATTTCCATTATGTTTCAAGAAGCTGACATTTTTATCGCTGCTTCTACCATATTTTTCCTTCCACTACACTTTCCATTAGTTTACTTGGCAAATGGACTCTGGGTATACAGACCAAAACACAATGTTTTCCTTGGTCTTTTCTCATTTCTGACAAGCTAAATTTGAGATTTTTCATTAGATGAAAGTCATAACCATCACAATGTCTTAAAATATATGCCTCCCGTTTCACTTTTTGAATTAAAATCCTGAAATAATAAAAAAAAAACCTGTCAACTATATTCTAATTCTCTGAGATGCACCTGTAGACGCACTACTCATTTCTCCACCTTTTGGCTCTGAAATCCTGGCGTGTAAGTAATAAGAGGAGCACAAATTTAGTCCTGAGTGGCAAACTTCTCCTGGCATCCGAGAGAAGAGCTCTTTAATAATTCAGAAATCTTCTCCCAGGCCATGTATGAATGGCTGACATTGTGAGCAGACGAACCAGACTCTGACATTATGTAGATGTTCGTTCCTGCTACCATTTTCTTCCACAGCTCTTGTAAGGGCGTAAAAGTGCCACCGTGAGTGACAGTTTGGTGTGACACTTGCGAGGGGAGGAGGAGTTGTGAATGTGTGCATGGAGATGGGCGGGTGGAGGTGGGGAGGTGCAGCTGGATTAATGATGTGCTTGAGCAGGTTCACAAATGAGAAGGCCCAATGTTTGTTTCCAAGGACAATGTGGTATCGATCTGTGAGGTATGGCCCTGATTGGAAAACCCAGGTTACCCTTTGTCCTTTTGTCTGCATGGAGCACGCACACACACACTCGTTTCACACATACACACACCAGCAGAACCTCTACCACCTGAGCTCTGCACATGTGTCTTGTTTCTCCCAGCGGTTTCATAAATATTAACCTGAAGAGACTCGTCTCCTCTGTCCAGCTCTGGGTCCAGGTGCTGAGGAGATGACTCCAGGCTCTAATAAATATTAATGAACTGTGGAATGATGATTGATTGACCCCACCACTGACTGGCCTACATCACACTTGACTGCCACTCATGTTTATTCATTATTTGGAGAGAGAGCGTAAAGAGACGGAGAGAGAAACTGAGAGTGAGGAGAAAAGAGTTTCGATTGCGTGGATGAGGGGGGGCATGGAGGAGCTCAGCGTTTTACAGCAGGGTTACGTCCGAAGGTTAGTGATAGATGAACGAACCTCGGCTCTCTCCCAGGGTGAGCTCCTTCCCTCCCCACCCCCCCGTCTTCTGAAATGCAGCTGTGGTGAGGTTATAATTGAATCTCCCAGGGCTGGTAATTCTCCCAGGTAGTGCAGAGGAGAGAAACGATACTTCAGAAGAGCTTTAGTTCCCCCCTCTGTTTCTAAAAGAAGAAAAAAAATATATATATATTTAAAGCATTTTAATTACAGACACTGTTAACATTGATTTGGAGAGCGGTGAAACAGCATTTAAAAGCATTGATCTTTTCCAAACGCAGTGAGGGATCTGGCAAGCGGAGCAACCCATAGATCACGAACACGTTTCTCCGGCGTCTGTGTTTTCTGTGGCGGTTGACGACACTGTGGGTTTAAATGTTTTAATGCAGATTGTGAAGAGCTACGATTTGCGTTTAGATTTTAATCGTCTTCACTCAGAAGTGTACATACACCCATCATGATCATGACTGTCGTCATTATTTGAGGCTTTGATTCATTTATATGAACGAAGCTTGACCATTGATAATAAAACCTGCCGAACCCTAGTAACAGAAAATGTCACTTAGCAAGATGATTAGATCCTGACATAATTCTGGTTGGATAATCCACCTCTCTTTTTATGAAATAATTGCAAATCAAAATTTGTCTGCTTGCTGACTTGGATCCACCTTTTAGACATAAGTTAAGTAGATTTTCTTTTTGTTTTTGTTTTTTATCATTTGGTTCAACCCTGAACACCTAATTGTGCTCAGGTTTCAATTTTTTTGCTGTTGATATCAGGGGAAATGTAAACATTTGAAGGTAGCCTTTCTACTAAATGTTCTGTCCACTGTATACAATACAGCTGTATGAGTAGCAGTGAAGGATCAAAACAAATGCTTTCAATCAGGATGTAATGTTCATTAGGCTTAAACTTAAAGCATTAAAAGGCCCGTTAGATTTACCGGCTGCTTCAGATGTCAAGCCGTCACTGGATTCTCCTTTAAAAGCAAAGCAAAGCTAAGACACACAATCAATAGCTTTTGCAAATTTAATCGCCTGACATTTTTTCTTCTGCGTGCGTGCCAGTTTCAATATAAAGGTTTAGCCTCACATATGCATCTACCCTGCAAAAGATCAGATCCTCGAGATTTAGTTGGTGTAGAAAAGTGAAGCGTTGTGCGACTTTTTCATGTAATTAGTTTTGTATGTCTTGAAAGGTCTGGAGTGACGGGTGAACCTGTGGGAGCCTTCTTCAATGCCAGTCCCCCGTTCTCAACTTAGCAGTTTACTCTGTCACAGCTCCCCTGAGAGACAGCGGAAAAGATCAATTATATCTCTGTTGACTTTTGTGCGATGATGCCTGTCAGAGAAGCTGAGCTACAATCTACAAAAAAAATAAAAAAATAAAAAACGCTTCTAATGAAAACAAACTGTAATAACCTTTAAATGTTCACCGGAGTTGAATACGTTTGTCAGAATGGATGCTTTTATAGCTATCTGATTTAAGAAAAAAAAAAGTTGTTTTTCCCTTAACCTTGCTCCCTCACTGATATGAATGAAGTGTACCATCTCCTGTCAAATATGGTGAAAGACACCGCCTCGGAGACCTACTTTCTGTCAATCCTTCAGCACCTATTGCTTATCAGGAATGACTATTACATCAGGTAAGTTCTGTTTGGCTTTTACACACTGCTGGCCTTGTATTGACTGATGACCTGGTGAGGCGAGCTCTCACTCTGCCTCTATGACTGCAGATACAATACCCACGAACCCATCGTTCTCATTTCACTCTCACTTTTCCTTAACAGACGTCCATAAAATGTCCTCTCTGGGCTTACATCTGCCATTTCAAAAATGTAAAGGAAATTTTGAGCTATTAGCTGCATTGTCAATCACAGCAGGCCCAGACATCGGGCTAATCAGTGGTCGGCAACGTTTTGATGCCTCTCTGCTCCTAAACACCTGAATCAAAAGGCTGAATCGCCTCTTCGGCATGTCAGCAATTTTTGTAAATGCCTTGTCGTTACCCATTGATTAGATTCGGGTGTGCTGGGGCAGAGAAGTGTCTCAAGGTTGCAGGACAGCGGCACTGCTAACTATTATTAGCGTGCAGTCTGATAACACTGCCGTTCTCTGTATTTTATGTTTTAGATGCTGCAGCAAAATGTTCACTAAAGGAGGCTGCACTGTGCTGTTTGTGTGACTGATTTTATAACATAAATCTACAAAAGATCAAATAAACTGTTTATTTTTTTTTGTTTTGTTTTGTTTTTTTTAATTGACATTAGAATATGAGAGCTTTGTGGGTGAGAAACCTCCAGTTGAAATCTGAAAACTTTAAAATGGAACACCTAATTTGTTGTATTTACACAACTTACCAAACTTATGAAGTTTGGCCTGGTAAAAAGGTTGATTTTTATCCGTTTTATAACAAACGGACAATGTTGAGAATGAAGTACAAGATGATCTCTGTGAGAAAAGGCTTACCTGGTAATCCTATGTCTTATAGAAGAATAGAAATAGAACTTCTGTAATAAATCTTATTCTGAACTATAACGTTAGTTGCTTATTTACACAAGGCAGCATTGTGTCAACCAAATTATTCGTATACTTTTTCAATGCTTTTTCTTTGTTTTTCAAGTTCAAAATTGCTCTGGTTCTCCCAAAATGAAATTAAGTTTCTTCTGACCATCCAAGTTTCTTCGGAGTCGTGACGAAGACTCTGTGTCGGCCTCTAACTGAAGACTGTCGCCAAATGACACGACTGTCATGATATGCTAACTGCTCAATTTCTGTGCAGCAGAGACAATATTATACAGGAACATGTCCTGGATGACATCAGGTGTTGCCAAGCACTGCTAATCCACATCACTTGCTTCTGCCTCTCCTTTTCCCGCCAGGTGTCTCTGACACTCCTCCATGGGTTTTAACTGTAAACCCTCAGATGATACTTTCTCTTCCTCTGTACCGTTTTTCCGTTAACTTTACTCAATGGTAGCCTGAAAGTTACAAACCAAAATATTGTTTGTATTTTGTCCTTTTTTCAGTCACTTCCTCCAGATTTCCACCTGCTGCAGCTCGAATCATTATCTAGGACAGAAGTGCTACATCACTGATATCTGTATGTTAAATTCTGCAAGTTTGAAGAACTCCAGCCAACACCCTTAATTGGATGAGTGTTGGCTGTGTTGCACAGGAGAAAGCAGTCGTTTAACAGTTGGTGGTTCTTATTTGTTTGCACTGTCCGAGTGATCGTTATCAGGGGAGCCGTTTCAGTCAGGACATCGTTTTGTTTTGTCGAGAATTAAGCCACTCTGAAACCTGCCTAATGTTTGAAAAAGCAGATTAGTCAGTGACTGTAAAACGAGAGGGTGACTTATTTTAATAGAGAGGCTCTGATTAATTTCATGCTGCGTCAGAACTTTTTTGCAGAACTTCGGCTTACAAAGAGAAAGTTGGAAGATAACTTGAGGATGAGAGGAGGTGGATGAATTTACTAAAGACAAGTTGCTGTCCCCTTGGAGGCATGAATAATGCATTCCTCATCTATTCGGAGGAAGTGAGAAATGGAATTCACATTAACCATCCCTGTCTACCTCTGCTTCGTTGTCCACGTTCAGCTCCTTCAGGCAGAAGCATGAAGGGATCAGCTGAACTGCTCATGAAAAATAATCTAAAGTTCTTTCAAAAGATATGTTGTGAGTTTCTTTTCCCTTCAACCGTCCAAACTAATGCAAGTATGAACTCAGAACACAGACATTACGAGTAGAAACGCATCATGAGTGAGACATTTAATTCCCTGTGCATCACAGCTGCAGATTAGGGAAGATGGAGAACTAATGCAGTGCAAGCGGGTTTTTAAATAAATACTGTATTTCGATTTAAGGTTGGATGGGGTGAGTGTGAGGGAGAAGAACTCCGAATCCAGACCAATTTACGAGAAACATGAGCTTGTGTATATTATTTGTGTCCACTATGCTGGGCTTTTTCAAAGTAGTCCCACCCTTCAAACTTATTTCTATGTTCTCATGTTGCAGCTACAAAATTGAATGGAGTTTTGAGATGTTGTATACTAAAGCTTAGAGTGGCTTAATTCTTGACAAACGACCTATACAATTACAGCTTGTTGAGTGCGTCTGCCAGCTCTGCATTTCTAGAGATGGAAATTTTCAGCCCAGTTGGACTTTGACTGAGCCATTTTTCATATAAACGTCCTTCGATCGAAACTATCACTTTGCACCCTCTTGTAGTTGTAATGTTAGGTTTTGTCATTTCCATAAATATGACTTTTAATATAATTTTCCTGATGAGTTTTGTTTTGTGATTTTCTCTAACAAACCTCTTAGGCGTTTGCAGAGCAGCTGCATTTATACTGGGATTAAATTAAACACAGCAGGTGTCTGCTGTGTCATCTCAAGGCAGTTTGTTGCCTTATATTTTATATTTAGTATTATACTCTTACATTTCTCGGCACGCGTCTCAGATTTTTAGCATGTTTTGAAAGCTGTATATCTTTTTGTATGCCTTCTCTTACCCAGTTATTTACATATTTGTGTTGATCTGTTGCATAAAATCCAAATAAAATGTACAGATGTTTTGTGGTTTTAACGTGACAAAATCCAGAACTTTTACAAGGAAGTGTATTTCCTATTTTCTTTTTCATCTCACTCAACTTTCCATGTGCTGCCACTTATTATTTTCAAATATATCATTAAGCATTTGTTTTTTTTTAAACATTGCAGTCTTCTAATTATGAGTGAACCCGCTATGTCTATAAAGTCTCCAAACAAAACATAAGTTGTATGTTTTTTTTCCCCCCCTTCAGGCCTGGGTTTATTTTTGATAATTAATCTTTCCTTGCAAGTGTAATGAATTGGAACGCATCGAACCCACCCAGCAATAACAGAGCAGATCTGCTCTTTTGGAGCCTGGTGATACGGGGATTACACTGGTTATGTGGAGCAGGGCTGGATCAAGTGGCTGTGAACCACAAGTTATCACTAGAAGAAATGAAGGTGCCACAGAAAAAGGAGAAGTTGAGGATGATACTGGGGACGTGTGCTCGCTTCGGAAGCCCAGGCCTGCCCACTGTGGAAGGGCCCTGACAGTTCTGGGTCACTCTCTCCGTCTCTAGTTATCTCCACCCAGTCTCTATCTGCTCGGCGGCGGTGGAGGATGGAGGACGAAGGGGAAAATAGTGTGGCTTATTGAGATAATAATGTGGTGTGCATTCATGACAGTTGTAAGCCGAGTCCCCACGGTGCTTAAGCCATGCGGGGCGACGTGTGAGCTTTCACCAGCTTGTGCCAGTCATGAGTGGGTGAATCCACCAGCTCAAGATTAACGTGTGGCATTTCATGCTTTCAAAACAGCACACCTAAATAAATGCTGGTTTATACTTATTTACTTTGGCTGAAAATTTCTCGTTTTTTTTTTTTTTTCTTCGTCTTTTATAAAACAACATTCGTGTGTCCTGCCCACTCACAAGGTATCACAGTGGAAAAATAGACTTTGAAATTAGCTGTTAAACTTAAAAGGGCAGATATTAACTCCGTTTCATTTAGTGTTTGATGGCAACGAAATGCTCTGATGTTCCTTTTTATTTTCTCGCTGACATATTTTGTTTATGTGCAGTTTTTGGTGTTTTTGGACAAAATTAACCCACCTGGCAGCAGACACTTTGTTCACAGCTCTGCCTGCTGTAATCAATTATCGCATTTTAGCAGCCGTAATGCTTCCCCTCCTTCTCGCTCAATGTTTTTCTCGCAGAACCAACAGACAGCCAAGCCTTTGATCAGACTGAAGTCCTTATCTAATCCAAGTTGTCTTAAAACCTCAGGCTTTTAGACGTCTGCGGTTATGAATCAATTGGACAATCTAGAGGAAGCTAAAAATATTAAACTCCAGCATATTTGTGTATGAAGGTGGGTCTTTCACTGTCATCCACTGGCGCAGCATAACAAAACACATTAAAGTGTAGTTGTTTTTTCAATTAGGAATTTAAGGGCGACCAGAGAGACTTAATCGACGACTGTACTTTGAATTTATTTCTGTGCCTTTACCAACAACAAACTGACTCATTTCCTGTGATTATTCAATCAGATCGCTGTTTTCCAGATGCTAATGGATTTCTCTGTTAGTAATTATTGAAGAATGATTCACTTCAGATTTGTCTGCCCAAACATTCACGCACATTACTTAAGTAGCTTAGTATCACTCACCAAATCATCTCTGGAAAGATATGAAGCATGGCGAGGATGTATTATATGTCGATTCTGTCAGAACTTAAATATCACTCTGGTTGTTGAATGCAAGGACAATTTTGTCTTACCGTTGAGATTAAAGTTAATATTTAATGTCGCCCATGATAAACATGTGTATAGAAAGGCCCAATTCACTCGTTCACTAATTTTCAGCCACATTTTTTTTTTTACCATTTTGTCCCTTTTTTCCCTCTTTTCTACTTCAATTATACACATGAATGTTGCCATATTGTCTTTCTCTACTTTCATCTTGTACCTAAAGGTTGCCATTTTCTATGTATGACTTAATCAGCATGTTTCCTTGTCTTACCGTTTTTGTGAAGTGATCGAGAGGATAATGCTTCCTTGTCAGTTCATGGTTACACCAGTGGGAAACGAGCAGTCATGCGTCATATCCACCTTGGCCAGCTTCACATTATACTTGTATATTACTTTATATCATTTAATATTCATATGTGTCTGTAGATATTACATTGATGATTTAGTCAATTTCTGAAAGCTTTCCAAATTTTTTCTCCAAGTGTGAGGTCACGCCACTACAACAAAATATGTATTTTTTTCAAAGGTTTCATACATAGAAAGCCACACATTAAAACAATAAATAGACTTTTTTTTAACCATTTTTTGACTATAAAAAGTTGACTTAATCCCATTTCTGTTTTGGTTTGATTGGATTTATTAAAATACAGACTCGTGTTTTTTGGACTGTAAAGGTAATTATTTTTCTTGCATGTGGTGATTGTAGAAATTTGCTGTTGAAGGCTTTTATTTTTATATGTTCAAGTGTTTTTTATGTTTTGAAGAGGCCCAGCAGGAGACATCAGTTTGATGTCTCAGAACCCTTTTATGCACTTGAACAGTGAAGTTTAGTTTTAGTATAATAGGCTGTTGTCAGGGTGCCTTGGCAGACAGTATTTCAAACATCTGCTACCCAAGATTAAAATTTAACTTGCAAAGTAGATAATGTTTACCTACTGGAAGAATTAAAAAAAAAAAAAAAAAAACAAGACTGGTTTTCAGATTTAAACATCAAACGCTGGCCTGTGTCAGGGTTAAAAAATAATTACTTCTCAGTTTGGAGCCTGGCTTAAGATGGCATTGTATTTGCTAAATGTCACTTGCAATTAAAGTTGATAATGTTACACAGAAAAGGTCACATAGCAACCTGCGCGCTGGCGACGGACTTTCAGGCTGATTCACAGTCCATGTTTGACGACGCCACGCTCCCAGTCACACTCCCCACTGCCTGGCATGTTTTCCTGCCCATTGTGCCTTTAATTACACACATTACACTGATTAGATTTACATTTCAGTTTTTACGGTCGCCCTAATTGGCAAAGAAGATTGCAAATTACGCGAGGGGGCAGGCGTAGCGTTGGCGGCCGTCAGTCACCTTGAAATGGACAGACGATCGCGTGGTTGGTTTCTGTGTAGCCATTAATCTGCTAAATTTAAGATAAGGGTGAAGCAAGTGATCAAATTTAATGGTGCACCTATTTTCTCCAGCAGCAGCCTTTTCGACATGGCATTTTGTGACCTCTACTTGGATAAGGGAATCATTTGTGGTTAATTAGCCTCGTGGGGTTTGTGTCACTCATATCTTTCATGTGTAATTGTTCTGCTTTGTCTCGTGACCTCTCTCAGACCTCAGTACTACAAGGTGATCGAGGAATGCGTGTCTCAGGTGGTTCTGCACCGCAGTGGGACGGACCCTGACTTTGGCTACAGTAAACGATTGGATGTGGACTTCACTCAGCTTATCGGTAACTTTTCAACTGCTTCATACTGCAAATGTTGTTTATGTGCCACCTATTGTTGGCAAATGCTAATGCTAATACTTTTTGGTACTTGTGTTGTATTCTTACTTTTTGACAAGGCGCTATTACTAAAGCAGTGTTTAACTATAGTGTTATTTTTACACATGTAAATGCAATAGGAAGTCTTCATTTTGTTCTTTCAATTAAAACATTTAGTTAAGTTTAACTTACTTAAATTCAGTCTACAAAAAATGAGAAAAAAAAGGAACACTGGCCTCTACAACCAATAGCACTTCATGTGTTTTTCTTCACAAACTCAAACGTTTGCAGTTTAAATTGAAAATTGTTTGAAGATCCAGCTTTCATGTGACTCACTGAACTAATAGTTACCTGTATAATCAGAGAGCTGCTTCCCGTCTGTGTTGCATGGAGTCAACTGACCTCTGGCTCCTATAAATCGGCATTTCAGCCCAGGATGATCAAAATACTTTCCACAATCTCTCTGCATTCCTCTGTTTTGCCTCAGAAGCATCACTTTTATGTCCCTTGTCATGTTTCAAGTGGACCAAGGTCGGAAAATTATGCTGGGCACTTCATCATACCCAAACTACTGGTGTTGCTTCCTCCTGGTCGGCCATGTTTATTTACTATGAACTCATGTTTAATCTCGACAGGTTTACAGAGACCTCCCATCTGACATCTCAGTGATGTCGGAGCACTAAGATGCCTTGTTCCTCTAAACAATGTGTCCATTGACCCATTTTGCTCAGATTCTGTTAGAGGAATGCTCTACAACCAGCATTTGCTGACTCCTTAAATAACATCTGTTCGTTCACAGCAGAATGGCCTTTACAGTTTGAACTCCACACTGTTGAAGCACTTTCAATTCACAACAACATTCAGTTGATGTTGCAAATGTTAAACCGAGTCAGATATATAAAAATCCTGTTGATTTGTATTACTACACTACATCTAGCTGCACGTAAAAACATAATTCAACCACAGATTGCAATTTATCTGGTTGGTGTTGTTGGACTAGTTATTTTTTTTAGCATAACCGTATATTCTTTTCAAAAATCAACAGATTTACTAGCTAAACTCATTGGCTGGTGGAAAAAAAATCCAAGATTTCCAGTCTATCAGCATGCACAAAATGAGAATAAATTTAACAGTAAAGTGTGTTTGATTTGGCCAAATGAATCATAAAATGGAGAAGCATTTGCTTTAATTCAGTTATTTGTGTTGGTGGAGTCAAGCAGACAATGTTAATTTGAGCTGCATTGCCAAAGGAGATTTTTTTTTTCCCGCTGAAAAATAAAAATAAATTGACTTTGTCTCTCACAGTCGTGTCGCTAGCTTGTGACTTGCCAACAAAGGGTCATTAAAAGTTTCTAAACTTATCCCTTGAGAACAGATGCTGCATGGAGCTTTGTCTCACACTATGCTGAAGTTTAATAAAAAAACACATGGAGGGATGAAATGTGTCTTTTCTGCCCTTTTTAGACCTATTTTTAGTATTTTAGTTTCCTCTTTTAAAGCGAGTTGTCATCTTAAGCTGTAGTAATGATGGCAGGCTGCGGACAAATTGCCTTGATCCACTCACATTAAAACTTGAGGCATTTTGTTTAAAATGCATTTTTCCAGAGCCAAACGGTGCTTGTAGGTCATGAATCATGTGCACTTCCTCTCATTTCTCCACCAAACAAGCTCTCTCTGTCGCTTCAACACAAAAATATTCCAACCCCTTGAACATTTTTCTCAATTTGCTGCATCATAATACCAAAGTTAATTGTATGTTATTGGGATTTTACGTGATGCACCAATACAAAGTCATACATAACAGTGAATTGAAATGAGAAGGAAGTGTGTATTTTTATTTATCTAAATAGAAATTGGAAAATCGTGACAGTCATTTGTATTCAACCCTCTGCTGGTTGAGGCTTTCTGTCCCACTTTGCTAAAGCAAAATGAAACACACAAGTGGGAAATGTGTTTTTCTACCATCTTTTAAGTCCTACTTCAACATTCAGACTGAGCCAAATTGTTGTCGAACCCCCTTTTGCTGCAATTACAGCTGCAGGTCTGTTGGGGTACCTATCAGCTTTTCCACATGTAGAGATAGACAGGTTTGTTTTTTCTTTGCAAAATTCCTCCAGCTCAGGGTGATTGTATGGATGGCATCTTTCAGCATCAGGTTTCATCTCTTACCTCAGACTTGGGCCTGGAGCTTCACTGAGCCATTCTAACACTGACACACTGATAGACTTTGATCTAGGCATGGTGGTTCTGGCTGCTGCAAGGTGAAAGGTCTTTTCCAGCCTAAATATAGTTTTTTTTTTTGTTGTTGTTTTTTATATATAGCTTCATCTATGTTCACACCAACTCTGTTAGTTATGGTGCGAGCATGTTCTCCCACTGACGCTGTCTGGTGCGTTTCCTGGTCTTCATTCTGTTGGTTTGCTCACCAGTGTTCTCTGACAAGCCTTTAAAACCTTCACAGAAGAGCTGAACTTGGACTTACATTAAATCACTTTGGAAGGCTCCATTTACTGCTTTGTCGGCTTTTCAAAGCAATAGGTTGCCCCAGATTTTATTTATGGGTGTCAGAGTACAAGGGCTTGAATTAAAAAAAGCATGCCATATTTTTCAGATTTTTTCAGATGTAAATATAAGAGTCCATGTATACTGCTCAAAAAAAATAAAGGGAACATTTCACTTTAATTTTGTGTGTGGCTCCAAATCCAGGCCTCCATTGGTTAATAAATTTGATTTCCATTGATGATTTTTGTGTGATTTTGTTGTCAGCACATTCAACTTTGTACAGAACAAAGTATTCAATGAGAATATTTCATTCATTCAGATCTAGGATGTGTTATTTGAGTGTTCCCTTTATTTTTTGAGCAGTATTTAGATTTGCAAGCATTTTGTATAAAAAAACCCCAACAATAAATCTATAAAGGAAATCTATAAAAGATAAAAAGTCACAGTTTACCTATGCAGTTTCAGACTCTTTTTGGAGTCTTGTAGAGTGAAGCACATAATCGACGTTAAAAAAAATAAGTGGTTTGCAAATCTACTGTACACTTATAGTTCTCATTGATTTTTCATTTGCTACTTTAAACCTTACCTGTCCTGTAATGATCATGTTTCTATTCCATGCAATGTTTTCTCATACAGATGATGCTTAATTTTCTTTTATAGAAATCTGATCAAATTGCCATGTTCCGTGTATTCTTGGGAACCTTCAATTGCTGTTTGAAATGATTCCTTTTGGAAATAATGAGGTGCTTGCTAGCTTTCCTAGAATACATTTTGGCACTCTAAATGAAAAAAAGGTTCCTAAGGAACGCTCACAGCCCAGATGAATGACCCAAATTGGATTTGGATCTACTTTAAAAAGAAGACACCAGTTAACTTCGAAGCCTCACAATGAGTTAAAGATGCATGCTGCACCCTGAGATGCCTTTGAAGTATCTCACGCCCTTCTTGTCTTGCAGATCAGTGTGTGGATAAAGCCAAAGTTGAAGAGAGTGAACAGAAGGCTGTAGAGTACTCCAAAAAGGTGAGACATTAATCACTCAAATAACCCCCCCTCCCCTCCCTTTTGGTTGGCCAGCTCCCATCAGCAAAGTTTTTTCTTCCCCAGAGCTCCCAGACAAGCTATTGATTTAGCATGCCCCAATCAATACCTGGCTGTGACGCTACATGATCCGTATCAGCATTACAAGAATCGATTGTGATGTTCTGATGTATACTTATTTGTGCACAAGGTTGGGGAGAGTTAAGTTATGTGGAAAAGCCTTGATGTGATTCCGTATTTAAGGCCGGACCTCACTTAAAGGTTTAAACAGATTCAGTTACCGGCGGTTCTGTGAAATAGTGTTTTAAAACCTCAGATTTCCTGTGTTTTTTTCTTTTTTCTTTTGTCACACTGTGAATTGTCAGAATGTCACAGAAATATCAGGCAAAATAATTAGCCCCTAAAGATGACTGCATGTCATCTGAACACAAATGGCATTGAATTTCCGTTGTCCTTTGACTAGGCCATTCTGAAACAGTCATTTGCTGTTGCTGGTGTAATTATCATTTTCTTGCTGCATTTCCTAAGTGGACTTTAGCTTAAGGTCACTAACTAATGGCTGGACATTCTCCCTGATCAGAATGAATGTTTCCATCTACTAAGGCCAGTCCAGAGGTACTCCCTTCCCTGCTTGATAAGTGCTGGTAGTCTTGCAGTGCATGTAAGGGTCATTAGGTTCAACTTTTGTCTCCTCGGTTCACAAAATATTTAGCGGTCCATTGGTAAATCATTATTTTAGATCAGAGGTGTTTTTTCTTCTTTTATTGGCTGTGAAACTCTCAAATGGATGCATTGTTTGCCCAGTTTCTTTCTAATTATTGAGATATGAACTCAGTTAGTGAAATGATGCGAGACCTTCTGTGCTTTAGATGCTGGTCTGGGTTTTTCTGTGCCCTCCAGGACAAGCTTTCGTTTCAATCCTGGAGTCATTTTGGTAGGCGGATCACTGCAAAGCCGGTTTACTAGTTTTCAATAGTTAGTCACTGTGGTTCGCTGGAGGTCCCAAAGCCTAAGAAATGATTTCGTAACCTACTTTTGACTGATAGATGTCAATGAAATTGAACAAAGTTTTCCAAATATTTTTGGTTAATCAGTCATCTTGTAGTTAATTGAGCTTGTTAATCAACTTGTTACTCAAAGCAAGGTTTCCCTTCACAAATTAAATAATCACTTGGAAATATGTTTTTTTATACTCGGATTATTTTTGTTTGATGATTTTAAAGGTGTTGGTGTGACAGTAAATCATAAAAAAGAGAGAGAAAGAAATCTGCAACCGAACAAATACTTTTTCACTGCACTGTAGTAAGGCAAGAAACACAGTCTCAACTTCAATCTGACAACAGCAGGGGTCCTGAATGTTTTTTCTTAAGACTCGTGTCGCGGCGATCCACTCTGCTCCCTGCTGGGCTGGTGAAATCATTGTTGCGACATGCCTTGGTTTCTGCAAAGGTTAGAGCCATCAACATACGTGAAAACCAAGATCCAAACAAGAGACAAAGGGTGACAGGACTCCGGGGATGTAAGGGTTATGGATGGAAACGGGCCTCAGAGTGTGAAGTGGCGTGCTTTCTCTTCCCGTTGAAGCGCCCTCTGGTCGCTCTCCGGAGACAACCCCATGCTTTACCTTTTACCTACACGTGTTTGTTATCTACACGCAGACATTCTTGTTTCTCTTCTCTTGCAGTTTGATGAGGAGTTCAGCGCACGGCAGGAGGCCCAGGCCGAGTCCCAAAAAAAGGAGGAGAAGATCAAGGAGCTGGAGTCAAAAATCCAAACTCTGGAGACGCAGGTAAATCTCACTACTCTAGAAAACGGTGCCCCCAAAAAGTTATTTTGATCAAGTTGAGATGAAAGATATTAAATACTTTTCAAACATTCACACAAATGAAAATGTGTCTGAAAAATCATAGCATCAAGGAGTAATGGGACCTTGAGAAACACTTTGATTGGGTCAGAAGGATACCTTTTCACCCCACTTAAAGATGTGAAGGTGCTGTAAGTGGGAGTTATCATCCATGCAAGACGGCTTGATTTAATAAAGGGTCAATCTTCTTCCTAAGTTGTAGCTCTTTGTAAGCGAGAATTGCTCTATTGAAGCTTTTCCTATGAAATTCTATCATCGCAGAGATGGATTGCGTTTCTTTTCCGTTTCTTCCCAGGCAAAGCCCCCCCGTTCTGAGTACAGAAAATGACTGCTATTTCCCCCTTAACCCAATTTGAAACCCTTTTTAGGACTGCCTTGGGATAAAAGGGCAGTTTGCCTCTCTTCTTTGAGAATTTAATCTCAACCAGCATGGAGGGATGGTATTGCTTCATTTGTTTCTTAGATTGCTTTTTATCTCAAATTTTCATTTATTGTTGCTAATAACGATTGAACAAGTGAGCCTTAGTTTCTGCTTGAAGCAGTTTCTAAAATGTTCATCCTTACTCTTCACAGTTCAGGGTTTTCTTTTAGCTGGTCTCTTGACTAGTCATGCAATCAGTGTTCTTCCTCAACTTAACCTTATTCAAAATCTACCTGTCAGCTCCAACTGCAGATGAATGTGTAATGTGAAAGGAAAAACCTGGAAAGTCAAACTTTACTTGGAAAGAATGATTAGTTTTAACAACTCTGGCAAACATCTGAGATGCACCAATCGCGACTTTGGATTTTGTGAAGTTTTGAGCGTTGAGTATGGCTTCTAAATATTTCAGATTTCACTTTGAGAGCTATATTTAAGATGTAAGAGCAGCCCAAAATACTTCCTCTCATCTGTTTTTCATTTGGAGCAGAAGCAGCATCACAATATGCATCTGACGGCACATCAGATGCTGAAAATTGCTAACTTTGGCTCTTGTTCACTGCTGGTCACAGTAACCTGAGCACCTCATTTCTATGAAAACATGATTACGGTTCAGTTTTCCTCAGAAGTTTCCAAACATATTCAACTTGGGGGAGATAGTTGGATAAACCCCCAGAATATGCTGATGAGATTATATGAGCCTCTCGGCTCGGGAACTCTTTAGCTACGTTCACACAGCAGATCTTGATGCTCATATCTGATTGTTTGCTGAAATCCAATATTTTATTTAATTCTTTATTTTTATTTTTTTGGTGTGGTTGTTTATACTACTAATTAAATGCGAACACAATTACATTTACGTGTGAGCAATTTACAACCACAAAGTGACCCACGTCTGCAGAAGAAGAACGTTGACGCCACACTAAACCTAAAAATTTACAGAAGTAAAGAAAAGGACAGAGCCGTCTATGAATCAATTTTGAAGTTATTCAGCAGTGGAGGATTGTCACAAAATCACCACCACGAAGAAAGCTGTTTAAAACAAAGAACAGTCCAACGTCAGTGGCTTTTTTTTTTTTTTTTTTTTTTTTTTTTTTTTGGGTATTTAAAAACATTTTTTTGAGAGAGGGGTGGTTTTTTTTGTGGGGGGTTTTCTTTACAA